CACACCCAGTGCTCCATGCAATATGTGCCCTCCATAATACCCACCACCAGGCTCACCCAACTTCCCACCCTCCACCCCTTCAAAACCCTCAGATTTTTTTTAGAGTCCATAGTCTCATGGTTCATCTCCTCCAATTTTCCTCAACTCCCTTTTCCTCTCCATTTCCCCATGTCCTCCGTGTTATTTCTTATGCTCCACAAATAAGTGAAACCATGTGATAATTGACTCTCTCTGCTTGACTTATTTCACTCAGCATAATCTCTTCCAGTCCTGTCCATGTTGATATAAAAGTTGTGTATTCATCCTTTCTGATGGAGGCATAATACTCCATAGTGTATATGGACCACATCTTCCTTATCCATTCATCCATTGAAGGACATCTTGGTTCTTTCCACAGTTTGGCGACTGTGGCCATTGCTGCTATGAACATTGGGGTACAGATGGCCCTTCTTTTCATTACATCTGTATCTTTGGGGTAAATACCCAGTAGTACATTTGCAGGGTTATAGGGAAGCTCTATTTTTAATTTCTTAAGGAATCTCCACACTGTTCTCCAAAGTGGCTACACCAACTTGCATTCCCACCGTCAGTGTAAGAGGATTCCCCTTTCTCCATATCCTCTCCAACACACGTTGTTTCCTGTCTCGTTAATTTTGGCCATTCTAACTGGTGTAAGGTGGTATCTCAATGTGGTTTTGATTTGAATCTCCCTGATGGCTAGTGATGACGAAATTTTTTCATGTGTCTGATAGCCATTTGTATGTGTGAGTACACATATTCTTACACAGAAGTGTCCATGTCTTCTGCCCATTTTTTGACATGATTATCTGTTTTGTGTGTGTTGAGTTTGAGAAGTTCTTTATAGATCCTGGATATCAGCCTTCTGTCTGTACTGTCATTTGCAAATATCTTCTCCCATTCTGTGGGTTTCCTCTTTGTTTTGTTGACTGTTTCCTTTGCTGTGCAGAAGCTTTTGATCTTGATGAAGTCCCAAAAATTCATTTTTGCTTTTGTTTCCTTTGCCTTTGGAGACATATCTTGAAAGAAGTTGCTGTGGCTGATATCAAAGAGGTTACTGCCTATGTTCTCCTCTATGATTCTGATGGATTCCTATCTCACATTGAGGTCTTTTATCCATTTCAAGTTTATCTTTGTGTATGGTGTAAGAGAAGGGTCAAGTTTCATTCTTCTGCATATAGCTGTCCAATTTTCCCAGCACCATTTATTGAAGTGACTGTCAAAGAAGACACAAAAAGATGGAAGACCATTCCATGCTCATGGATTGGGAGAATAAACATTGTTAAAATGTCTATACTACCTAGAGCAATATATACTTTTAATGCCATTCTGATCAAAATTCCACCAGTATTTTTCAAAGAGCTGGAGCAAACAATCCTAAAATTTGTATGGAATCAGAAGAGACCCCCAATTGCTAAGGAAATGTTGAAAAAGAAAAAACTGGCGGCATCACATTACCTGATTTCAAGCTTTACTACAAAGCTGTGATCACCAAGACAGCATTGTACTGGCATAAAAACAGACACATAGACCAGTGGAACAGAGTAGAGAACCCAGATATTGACCCTCAACTCTATGGTCAAATAATCTTTGACAAAGCAGGAAAAAATATACAGTAGGTCAATACTCTTAAACTGAAATTCCAGGGAACATCTTCAAACTATTGTATAAAGATGTGCTTCCATTAATAACTAATAATGACAATCTTTTCCCCATTTATGGAAAAATAATTTTGATTTAGCTTTTTCATCCCTTTGGCATTGGTTACAAATTTTCTGAATAACAGAAAATAAACATGACAAAAACCAGGCAGTGGTAACTAATGTTTAGTTCACTCACTTGTTTTTCATTGTCACGTGCTTGTGATATCTACCTTCCCTATCTTTAATATAATTGTGCTTTATAGTAATCTATATATTGTAATCTTTATATTAATCTATATTTTCTACTGGAATTAAATTAAGATTTTTCATAGTGTTTCTTTTCCATCTGAAATGCCACTGGACTTACCATCTTGTAAGATACTAGAAGGAAAGAACCTCTGTCATCATCATCATTTCACATGTGATCAGAGCCATTTCAGAGTTTTGCATAGAAAGTAATATGAGGAAGAATTGCATTACGATATTTTTGGTGTTTGGGGAGTTTTCTGGAAGGAATGAGAATAGACTTACGGTGGCACATAACCACTGTAAACAATATTGTCAGTTGTATTTATATTATGTGGTTGATTAAAAACTGCTTTATGATATGGAAATAGTAAGGTGGATTTCTCTCCTATTAGTTTGACTAATTAATTTTGAATTAAAATTTATACAAAAATCAGATTGTTGCAGATATTGCTCCTCATAACTAATGCAAAGAAAGTTATCTAAAAACTATTCAAATCATCACTTTTCTAGGTAGGAACAGGTAGTTATAGACTACACTTTCAGAAAACACATCATTGATGTAATTGTGCATTCATTCATTTCCAGGAGGTCTGTGTTACTATGCCCATTTTATAGATTCAGAAATTAAGAGTGGTGAAGTGGCCTGACAGGTAACATGGGCTTTGAGTGTTAAAACTAAACTTTGAAACCAAAGCAATTGATTCTAAATCCCATGCTCTTTGAACCACACCTCACTGAACCCTTGTTTTTAAATTATTTATTTAATTTTTTAAATTACAAAAGTAATGTGTGCTTGAAACAAACAATTCCTATGTGGATACATATGAGGCTTTTATTAATATACAAATATGTATACATATTATACAAATATATATTTGTATTTTAGGACAGTGTGTCTAGCAGCAATATGATTGATAGATGGAAAAGAGAAGGCATCTTGGAGGAAGAGAAGTGAGTTAGGACACTATTTCAGTGACCCTGACAAGAAATGATAAGAACTAGAACTAAGATAATGGCAGTGGCAATAGAAAACTTAGAAAGGACAGACATGATAGTTAGAAAACCTGCAAGAATTGGGAACTCATGGAAGTGGGAAGGTCTGAGAATTGGGGGAGCTAGGAATGACTTCCAGCTTTATCACTTTGGTAATATGCCACTGATATGGATGCAGTGATGGAAAACAGGAAAGATGTCTGTTAATTGTACATAAACCTAGGATTTTAGTATATAGTTCCATGTTAGTGATATAAATTTGGGAGTCATAAGCTTGCTGACAGAGGTCAAAACCAAGGTACAGTTGTCACCCAGGGAGATTATATAAAGGGAGAGAATAAATGGGCGAGGGCAGAGCTCTAGATACCACTAGCATTTAAGGAGCAAAGAAGACTGAAAACGAATGGTTAGAGAAATAGAGGAAAAATCTGGAGAGAGTACCACTGAAGCCAAGAGAGGAGAATTTCAGAAGAGAAGGAAGAAGTTGCAGAAAGATAACCTAATTGAAATCCAGGCATTTCCATAGATAACTTCTCCATTTATAAAATTAAAAGAAAAACCGTTTCATTGTATCAAAATATTCTTTTGAATTCTTTTAATGGGTTTATAATGTTGTATACTTTAGACAACTATCAGCTATTTTAAAGCATAGATAATATAAATAACTATAGAATGTGGCAGGATATTACTAGCATCGCCCTTACCGATGAATTCTGGTTGATTTGACTTGATTTGTTTTATATTTAAGCTTGCCTGCCTCCTTTCCTCTTGTAATGTGATGAGTTTAGGATTGAATAAAGAACGTTAGGTTGGGAAACCAAACTGTAACATGCAGATGCCTCTATGAGATTTATGAACCTTCCTTGGCTAGTTTACATGGTGACTTTAAAGAAAATTTTAGATTACAGTTTCTCTTCACTCAGTTCTACTCTAAAACATGATTCTAGGGACGCCTAGGTGGTGCAGTCAGTTAAGCGACCGACTCGGGTTCAGCTTGGGTCATGATCTCAGGTTGTGGGATCGAGCCCTTTCTTAAAGGGCTCCATGCTCAGCACCATGGAGTCTGCTTAGGTTTCTCTTTCTCCCTCTACCTCCCCCCACCAATACCACACACTCTCTCTCTCAAATAAATATATCTTTAAAAATATATATGATTCTCATAGCATAACTGTCCTTACAATCTTGGCCAGTAGTTTAGGAAGTAAACCTTATAAAAAGATGATAGTTACACACCTCCCAATTTCAGGGACATAACATAGCTGTTGCAATGACAACTAAATGGAGAGGACTGGTCTGCCTTTCCTTGCTGGATAAAGAAATATACAAGACACTTGGCTGGGTGTTGAGAGGTAGGGAATAGACAAGGGAATATAAAATGGACTCAGCCAAACTTTTCCCCCTGGAAGTTTTCAGGGAGATAACCGATAAACATAATTATATTACTAGATAAAAGAGTAGAAGGAGCTACACATTCAAAGAAAAGAATATATCAGGTGTGAAAATCTGAAGGAGTTGGCATTTCAGTTGGTGAGTTTCAGGTAGGCAGAGTGGAGAAGGAACATTGGTCAAGGGCTTAACATGACCAAAAGTATGGGCCCCCAAACAGGTATTTGTTGAATAGCAGAACAAATGGAATTGGATAACATTTGTTTTTCCACTGACTTAATGAGTATAGTATATGTATGTCTCCTGTGTGCCAGGCACTGTGGCAGGTGGATGCTGGGAATACAAGCAAGATGGCCCTCATAGAGCTATAGTCTAGTGGGAGAGACAGACAAAACCAACAAACTAATAAATATACAAATTCAAAGTGCAAAGGACTAGTAGGCTACGGAAGAGCTTGGGTGAAGAGAGATGTTTGGCTGGGTAGTCAAGGAAGCCTCTTTGAAGAAACAAAATGGCATCTGAAACTGACCTTCGTAAGAACCACGTTGAAGTATTTACCCAGTTAGAAGCTTTTGTTGTTGTTGCTGTTCTAATACATTTAATTTGGTTAAATTACTCCCCCTTCAAACACAGGCTGTGAAATTTCTGTTTTCCATCAGTATTTGTTTGACCCAATATTGTTAAGTTCACCATGTCCTCTTTGTTTTGCAGAAACCAAAGCTGAAAGATTGGCATCCTCCTGGGGGTTTTATTCTGGGATTGTGGGCACTCATTATAATGGTTTTCTTCAAAACCTATGGAATCAAGCATATGAAGTTCATTTTCTAGATGTGTGAAGAAGACGGCATAGAAGACTGCAACCTGGGGACGCCTGGGTGGCTCAGTTGGTTAAGCAGCTGCCTTCGGCTCAGGTCATGATCCCAGCGTCCTGGGATCGAGTCCCACATCGGGCTCCTTGCTCATCAGGGGGCCTGCTTCTCCCTCTGCCTCTGCCTGCCATTCTGTCTGCCTGTGCTCGCTCTCTCTCCCTCTCTCCCTCTCTCTCTGACAAATAAATAAATAAAATCTTTAAAAAAAAAAAAAAAGAAGACTGCAACCTTGGATAAAATTTTATGTCATTATGCTTTTTAAAAAATACATTGTTCTTGTGCGAATTGGGCAAAAAGTATAGGGAAACTAAATTTGAATGAACTATTTTATAACTTAAAGAAAAACAACTGTTAATGCAGGTGCTTAGTGGCACTAATTATACTTGTTTTTTGTTGTGCATGTTATTAAAAAGATTGGACAAAGATCAGAGTATATTTAATGGCTTTTTTGAAAATAAAAATTTTCCCTAATCTTACCCCCTTTTCATTTGGAAAAGAAGAAAATGTGAAGACGTTTAAATTCTCATTAGCAGAGGTAATTTCTGTCAGGATTTTTGTGTGTGTTCTCCTAGTCTCTTTTTTCTATGTACATATTTTTTTTCCTAAATATAGATCGTATAGAATATTTCATTCTGTAATTTTACTTTTCATTTTACAATATGTTATCAACCCTTCCCCTCTCCTTGGACATTTTTCAGAACACATTGTGAATAGTTGCACAGTATGCATTTTATGAATGTACAGTAAGTTATTTAACACTCTTCTGTTGTTGGAGCTACTTACCTTGTTCTCAGAATCTTCCTTTGGTTCATTCTTCAATGTGTTAGTATTTTACTCTGAGCCACTCATAGAATTCTGCAGCTTTAATTATATGTAAATATAAAAAAAATGAGCTCCTAACTGAAGTCTTCAGAACCTTATTTGCTGTCAGTTTTCTGGAAAATATAAGACCTTTGAGAATTTCATATTATTGACTACACAAGAGAAACAGATCCCATCATTTTTAATTTCTAAGCTTTCTGTGATCCTCAAGAGTTGATTACGTCCTCTACAGTTTCCATATTGAAAAAGACACTGTTTCATTCTGTTTAAGGTAAGCCTTGTTCACTGGCTGGGTCTATACTTTCCCTGAGATAATCTCATAGAGTGGATAACTGTCTGGAAAGTTCACACGTAGGGCCCTACCTTCATGTTTGATGCATCACTTAAGGCAGAAAAGACCTTTCTGCTCTCTGACATCACTGATTTTTTTTTTAAGCTAATTAGCCATCTTCCTATCTTTCTCATAACTGGCAGTAGTGTTGCGAATGTGTTTCGCCATCAGCCCCAGATACTGTTTTGTTGTTTTTTGGTTTTTTGAATATAAGAGTGAAAAAAAACCATGAAGTTAAGTATTCATGTCCCACAAGATAACTTTTTATATTTTTTTACCTTTTTATATTTTATCTGTTTTTTCTAAGAATTTATGTGTTAACCTTTATTCATTACAAAGTTCTGATTTATGATTATAGGTAACTTTAAAAAGACAACTCTTCCTCCACAATAAAACCTCCTAAAATTAATATTCCATAGGATTTGTTTTCCTTTTAACACTTAAAATATTACCCTTTAATTACATGCAAAATGGTCGTACTTTTCATAGGCAAAGGATTAACTGTTAACTGTCAGGTTAGAACAAATGATATTAAGGCTTTTTGCCAGCTCTGAATCTTCATTTGAATTGATCTTCTTATTGGTGTACTAGATAAATTCAGATATTTTATCTGAATGAATGGAGAGGGATTCTTCTGTACAAAGGGAAAAACAAGCTTACTAATGACTAGGCAGATCATAATAGCACTAAGAGACGGAAAAGGTTGACCATAGCACCCTGCAGACGCTTACACAAGGTCATGAACATTAGGGTGAGGCGGAGCTACTTAGCGTCAAAAGGAAATATGATTGATCTTGAGCTGAAGTAATTTAGTCTGAATATAATGAAACATACTCTGATGGCAAGGACCGCTGGAAAGTAAAGGGCTTCCTCTTCAGAGGCTGTAGAAGGTGCCCTTCTTAGTTAAAACCAAACTGGGAAAAGTAATACTGGATATAATATACAGGATTAATTTTGCCCAGGCAGAGTTTCAAAGGGCAGTTATTTCTCTTTCTGTTTCATTATTGAATTTTCAGAATACAGTTAAAGCAGAAAGCTTAAACTATGTTAAATGTTCAGCTCATAACCATAATCTTTTTACATAAAGTATACTCTGCTTTCAATAATAAGTAAGTCCTCTGCATGTGGTAAGTGGGTAATATTGTAAGTGCAATTAAATAGTCCAGACTTTAAATTATACCATAAAAGCGCATCCTTAAATATATTCTGGAGTCACAAAATGCTGAACGACGGGAAGGGGTTTTCTTTTTGCCTTTTTCACAGTGTTGTTGTGAGGATCAGATGAGATAATGTTATGACTAAACACTTCGGAAATTGTAAATATGTAGTGGTGCTATTTTCCTTATTTTGGCTTAGGAAAATATCAACAGGGCAGTTTAATGATGCCGCTGTCCCTTATTCTGCTGCACGCACTTACCTGTGTAAGCTACTTAGCTTGCTGTTTGTTCTCTGGTGTTCTTTTTCTCCCCCCGCCATGGTGTCCTTCGGGGAGACAAGGAATATAGATAAATGGGTCCTGGCAGACCTGGCCTGACCTTTTAGGTGAGGGACAGGATATAATGATGCCATTCGGCAAAGGCAGCCTGCGGGAGAAAAAAGAAACCAAACGATGTGGATTTTAAAATTATGAAAGGCATTCATTTGCAGTTTATGAAAGGGAAATGTAGTTTGGATGCAAAGCTGATTAAATTGGATCAAGAAAAATTGGAATTAAGTACATAAAATAATGCATGCATTTATGGTTTCAATTTTTATATATCCTCAGCTAGTTGAAAATGATGATTCCCACAACAAGCATAACTCAGCTTGTTTCTGCTTACTGAGTATTTTCTACTATACATTATGTTGATAGCATTTCTTCCATTATGTATGTTGTATAGCAGAGTTACAGTTACTATGGGAATCATAATTTGAAATTTTGACTCGTGTGTTTCTGGAATCTTTACAACAAATGTTGCATTAACATAGAACTTTTTCCATTGATTTTTACCAAAATTAAATCCATCTGTAGCAGTTTCCATTTTAACTTGTCAAAGAAATATTTTATAAACATACCACAAGGTATGGCTATAAAATAATGAGATCAGCATCCATTTTGGCTTATGAAATCAGCCTCATTACTTTGTTTTGGCATCTTTTACCCGAGGGCATTTACCACGAAGAAAGTTCTCCAGGATTGCTGTTCTGCTGCTGCCTGCCCCATCTGCGCATGTCCTTGCCATGTAAATACGAAAGTTTTTCCATTCATGGACAATACACTGTGGTAATACCCAGTCTTTTTTTGCTCAGTGCAAACATGTTTCTGTTTTGGGAATGTGCTGTAAAATGTTTGGTTTCTTGTAACTGTGGAGACCCTTGAATATGGGACTGATGTAGTTGAAGTTGTGACCAAGACAACAGGTATTGAAATTCACTTACTTCAAACAGAGCAAAGTCATAAAGAGGGGCTTACTGTTTGATGTGGGCTGCTTGCTGTCTCGGAGTCCTCAGAGGACTTCCACATTTGCCCATGAAATACCCAGTCACAGGGCCTCCCGGGTGAGGCTCATGTGATGGGACTCATGTTCCTATGATCTGACCTTTTCCGACTGCAGAAGTGCCAGCCGCTGACTGCGCTAGAGCTTCAGTGACAGCTGGCAGGACAAATGTGGAGCACTTTCCTAGGGGTCATTAAATCAGGTCATAAATGAAAAGCACCTCATACAGTGCCTAACACAGGAAAATTTTACCCCTCTGTTCTTTGCTGGCCAGGACTCTCTACCTAGCCCTTGTTTTTAACCTCTACTCAGGCCTAGGGGTCACTCATTCTAAAGAACACTAGCCATGGTGCTCCCAGACTCCTATTCCCTTCTCTTCCCCGAGCCTTAGTGTTTCATGTGTTTAACTCCCTCTGTGGTCTGTCCACTTTGTTAGAAATACATCTTTAACATGATTGGATGGACATGATTGAATGGACACCCTAGGCCCCAGATGTCTAGGTAATAATCCAGTCCAAAGTTTTCTGATGTTCCTCCATCCCAGTGGGTACTGCATTTCCAGGAGACATCCTCCTCTACCCCCCTCCTCCACCCCATGTTAGGAAATTTTAAGTTTCAAAAGATAGAAATCCAACAAGAACAAATTTACACGGAGAAGGGAATTTGATGGAAGGACCTTAGAATATCACATTGAGGGGGTCTGGCCTGGGCTTCAGCAGGGACTGGAATGGCACCTGGATTTTATTCTCTGCATTTCTTCCTCCCTCCCGGAAAATGGCTTTCTCACATGGCTGGAAACACCAGAGCCTTATGTCCTGTGCTTCGCCGCAAGAGAGAGGAATATTGCTCTCTTCCTTTATTTCTATTTAAAAGGCTTGTGGCAGAACAGACTAACCCTGCCTGCATCAAGGGTTCACTTGGCCAGCAGGTCAGGGTCCTGGAAGCACATCAGGACGTGTGGTGGCATACCCCCATCTGTTAGGGCCTCTCCCAGAGAAGGGAGAGAGCTCAGGAGCCGGGTAGTCACCCCTACCACTGCTCCCGCTCGCTTGCTCTTCATGCGTGGTCCATGGAGCTTGCTTGGAAATGCAGAATGTCAGGCCCCACTGCAGACCCACTGAACCAGAATCTGCATTTTAACAAGGTCCCCAAGGAAATTCTCATGCACATGAGAGGAGGATAAGCACTGATCGACTTTATCCTCCTAGACTAAACAATCCAACTTCATCCTGAAAGGAGACTGTAAAAGATAGCAAATGCTTATAAAACAAACAGCCACGGGAGCATGTTTTATGGGTTGGCTTCTCAGCATTATCATTGACTTTTAGTCGGACCTTTTAAGACAGCACTGCTCTCATTCTCTGCTTTTTTCTTCTGAGCCTTTTCCAGAATGTTTAATGGTTGAACAGGC